CCATCCCAGCCAGCACTTCATCTACCTCAACCGAGTGCAATAGGGACCTTAATAAGCAACCAGAACGTTGACGTCGAGGACATGAGAAATGGAAACTAGAAGTGGATGTTTTCTGTCTTTCGGTGCTCTGACTCAACAAATTCGCACAGTGGAAGGTAAGATGAAGAATTCAGATTCGTTGTGTGAGACAGAAGCGTTCCATCATCGTTCCATCGTTCTCGTTGCTTAAGTTTGCTATTATGTTTGACACGAAAACACAATGTGTCATAGGCTAAAGATAAAGAAAGGTTAATTAGATTAACATTTCAAGGGTGTTTTCTTGTTTCTTTAATTCATTCCCTGGCTTTTTATTTGTATAACGATTATATCTTTTCCTTTTCATTTTTCTATACACTGTTTATATTCCCCTTCCTATTCCGGTTCCTATTCCTTTTTTCCCCTTATTTTTCGTATATAATCTGAATAGGAATTAAATCCAGATTAACTTAAACAAGACGCTTAAAGTCGTTTCCGTGGGATGCGTTGGTCTATGGAAGCATAATGGCGTTCTATCTAGGTTAATGGAACAAAACAAAACAAAACTTCCGCTTGCTTTATCCAGGGTCGAACCCAGGGTTACAAAGTTCGATAAAGTTCCAATGTTTTAATGCAAGATCAAGTTTAATATTCCAAGATGATCTTGACACGGTTAAAAATTAGTTGCAATGTGTTTCCAAGGTCTTAAAGTTAACATAGTTCCAATGATTATCCCTGATTCCAAGGTATAATAAGTTTACTCATGTCCTGATCCGTGTCCCATCCAGAAGTCCAGTCCATGCCGAAAGCGGGTCGTCGATCGACGAGGACAATATTTTCGCGATTTCAACGCCAATCGTCAAGGGTACGAGTTGAAATTTACGCGATTTAACCTCCCATCGTCAAGGTGTTTTCGATAAGAAAAGAAAAAAACTGAACTCTAGCTGTGCTCGGCAACAACTGGCGAACTCCGAATAGAAAAATCTATCGGAAATCACCGCCCGCAACCAGACGCTACTAAAACCTTCTGAAAAAGCTAGACCTAAACAAAAAAGAATCATGAAGGAAAGAAATAATTTGGCATATGTCGCCTTTCGTGACTTGCCAGTATCCCGAAGGATTTCGCCGGTTAACAAGCCATCCTAAACCACGAGTCGGAAAACTCAAGCGCGGCAAATTTGGCAAGGAACGTTCTGATTTCAACGTTCTTCAGAGGAAACAAATCGATTAAAAATCGATACAGATTTTGTACAATCTGATTGGTCGGCTTGGAAGAAGAGATAATCGATAAAGGTTTTACGCAATCCTATTGGCTGGCTTTGCAATTTTGGGTACAACCGAACCGGATTTTTACCGTGGGAGTGCCACAGGCATCCCAGGCACTCCTTCGGAATTAAGGTAAATGTTGTCCCTGCTTTTATACAGGTTTCTCTTCCCATTCCCGTTCCGGTTCCTGTTCCTGTTCCTATTCCCGTTCCTATTCCGGATTCCGCTTTCCTGCTTTTCCAGACGCCCATAAAAGGTTGGTTTAAACACCCCCAGATTTGTTGGCAAGAATTTGTAAGTAAACCTGTTGAACGCAAAAAAATCTGGCGTGATTTGTTTTCCAAGAATTTGTTTTCGAGGCCTAATCTACTGTGATCTTGAATGTGATCGAAGATGTTTGCTATTTTTTGGGTGTACATATAAGGTTATCAATTCGATGTAAGATGTTTCACTGTAAAATAACTTAGCCTTTCCCACGAAAGTCACATGAATGTGCCCTGAAGTTAAATGATTTGTGGATTAAAAGTTTATTGTTTGATTTAAATTATAAATTTATTAAAATTGGAGCTTCGCTTTTAGCCCTGGCTAAATCTATATATTATATTCAAGAAAAGGCTAATTTCAAAAAGAAGCTGGATTTATGAGGGAATTTATGCCATGTCAGACATTGCCCCAGAAAATTCTTTTTAACCTTGGAGAATTTGCTCAGTATAAAAAAAACTTTGGCCAATAAGTAGTCAATGTCACCAGCAGGTAAATCCAACAAGTTTCCTTTGTTTACTGAAGACAAGTAACGCTGAAATGTTTTCATGTCACTGAAAGCTTTCC